TTTATTTCCATGTGTGTTTATCGTTTTTTTTTATTTTCTTTGTTTATTTACTTTAAATGTTCTGCATGTATTATAAATACACATGTAATTTTAAGATTCAAAATGTCCTGAAAACTGAAATTCAACAGGTTCAGTCCAGGTATAAAAAATCCAAGATGTTTACGAATAGTTTGATTTGCCTATATTAAACTATTAAACTCTGGATCTCTTTAAGGTTTTTTTATTATAAGTTTTCTTTCTTTTTTTTTTTTTGCTGTTTTATTTTTTTAAATCGGGAAATCAGTTACTTATTTTAAAAGGTAAAGTACCTGAAACCACTACTTAATTTGAAGTATTATTAATTTCTCCAAAAATGAATTGGTAAACATAATAAATAAAACTAAAAATTAAATTAAGCAATGTAAAAAGTTTTTGTACACATATAAAGAACTAGCTCATCACACGTTGCAAAAAACTATGGACAGTTTTGCTTTCTCTGATTTAAATAGTTCACAACATATTTATTAATTATAGTATTTTGAAACGAAATATATACAAAGAATCTCTAGTTTCTATGGTATATTCATCAAGCTGTTTAAAGATTGTCGTAGTATTAAACTAGCCAACTTCTTTCAAACTTTTACCCAAATTTTGACATTGATCCCTCCACAAATACATTACATCCTTAAATACGCACTAAATCCTTACAAATATACAATATATCCCATCACAGATACATTACATCTCTTGACATTTACACAAAAACCCTACACAGACACTACATCCATACAGAGACAGTAAAAATAAGCTTTTTGTCTTTACAAAACCTTACCAAATCTACACTTCCCTATAAAATATTACTCTTGTAATTTATTTATTTTACACTTCTACCAACAAGAGCAGAATCATTTTAACACATGATTCAATCAATTTAAATGCACGATGTAGTAAAATGAGGCAAACTCCTTGCACCAACATTTTATACACAAACATACCACAAATCGACGCATTTAACCTCATTCTTTTATCTTTTATTTTTATTTTAAGTCCAACGTGTTCCTATTATAATACATAATTTTAAATCTGATATATATATATATATATATATATATATATATATATATATATATATATATATATATATATATATATATATATATATCTACAATGGAGATGGTCGACCTGTAGAAATCAGTCCTATTAAACCGAAAGGCGCTAGAGCCAGAAGATGTCACTAAATTTACCCAGTTTTGAAAGGTACCTAACTCACTCTAGAATAAGTTAAGGCGTCTAGGCAAGAAAGTGACTACATTATACCTAAAAACTAGAGTTGAATATCAAGTCCAAAAGATTATCTGTCTACGTTTTTACTTTCTCGTATAAAGTGTAGGCCTATAGAGTAAGTAGTGTAATTGTGCACAAAAATCACATGAAATTCTGACAGTTTTCACCCTTTAACTTCTCAGTTCTTAGTCATATACTGAGAGTAGTAGATTTATTTTAATTGGACGAAAATTCTAAATCCAGATTTATCAAAACTTCGGCTTTATACGCGTAATCGAGTCGGAAAAACTGGGTTTTGCAGTTCTGTCGGCATGTGAGTATATGTGTACTTCTGTCGTGAACACGATAACTTGATTACCGTTACAATTAGGTTGGGGAAATTTCATATATAAAGTATTATATCAAATTGGTAGTTACGTATCAACTTTTTAGCAATTTACGGTAATCGTAAGAAGAATTTAATCTACTTTTCATTTTTCAAATGACAATTACTTGAGTACTGTTTAAGATAGACTAAATTTTACATATAAATAAGCGATAGAATTATCTGTCTTCTGACAAATGTTTAGTAATATCCGTGTACCGGAAGGGTTAAATAATTTTAATATAAAATTTATAATAAAGTTTTAATAATTTTTTTTAAATACAATTTTTTTAAAGGACATATAAACGTTATCTCTGATAATGTTGAGTAAGGTAACTTTGTCTACGGCCGACTACTGTAACATTCTATAAGTTAACATAAAAAATATTATCATAGTAAACAAAAATAAGCTATTTGATTAATGATATAATTTTATTGAAAAAAAATCTAACCAAATCTTTAACTTTAACAATGCAAATTTCATTACAACTTATACTAAAGCAAAACTAATACAATTCTAGAAAAATAATTCTTACAAACACCATTAGTTACTTAAATTAGCCTAAAATCAAATGAACTATTTAAAAATCACGATTTCAATCACAACTTGTTAAGAGCATTTCAAATAAATTAATAAAGCATCGGAAAAGTTATTTATTAAAAGTTGGCTGTGTCGTATCTGTGTAGATCATCTTGATCCATGCTTTAAAGTAGGACTCTGTGTTGTATGCATCTATAATTTCATTTGTCATATATGATCTACTCTATCGAATGCTTACTTTTGATCAATACTAAGAATTGCTAGATTTGGTGCGAGTAAATATTGCTGCGCACGTATGTTGCACGAATGTAGATATGATACGGATAGTGGGATAGGGCCGTAGGAGATAGAAAGAACGTTGTTGTGATAGATTTAAGGCTAGGAGTTAGGGACTAGGTATTGAAGAAGTAGGTTCGGGTCATGTTGTTGGTGTTGACTGATATTAGGAATAATTGAATAAAGACTAAAGTAGTAAGAATTAGTATCCTGTTATATTTTGCGATGTCTGGGACCAAGAGTTAACTTATAGAAGGAGTGCATTTTGTTAGAACAAGGTCCATAGTAGGTGATGATGGTCTTAGGGGTCGTCCATAAATGACGTCACACTCGTAGGGGGGAGGGGGGGGGGGGTCCGTAATTTTGTGACGGTGTGTAATGAGGGGGAGGGGGGGGGGGTTCAGATGGTGCGACGTCACACTTTTGCATTATAAAAAAAGCAATGTTAGAAAACGAATTTTAGACGTTATTTCGCGTTTTAGAAAACTATTTAAATAAATTGTAATAGGAATTGATTAAAATACTCTATTTTGACAGAGTTCAGACAAGACTTTAGAAAAATATCGATGTTTTAAAAAAAATTCAACTGCAATTTTGAGGGGGGTTGTAGGTTGAGTTGTGACGTTTTTTTTTAGGGGGGGGGGGGTCTGGCTTTTTGTGACGACGTGTGACGTAGGGGAGGGGGAGGGGGAGGTAAAAATCTTCAAAAAAGCGTGACGTCATTTATGGATGACCCCTTAATACGGTTGAACCCTCTTACAAAGCACTACAACACCATGTTTTAGTCTAGTTCTTAGGCTATTTTACAGTTTTCATTTAATTACTACTAGACTACTCGTTATCCATGTATAACTTTGGATTTATGGGGTCATAAATAAATGACGTCATGTGTGTCTGACTACTTTTATCTTTCCCCTCCCCATCCACACTGTCACACATCGTCACAAAAAGCTAGACCCCAAATCACACCTCAGCCAACATGTTTTTGTCTTTTAAAAACAGCGATTTCGGGTAAGCAAGGGTCTGAACACACTATCCCATCATATGCTCAGCTCACAGAAGCAGGTGAACTCTACTTAACCTGTCCGGTGTCACACCATGTCCCGAAAAGCAACTTGAATTTTAGTAGTAAAATATATATAGATATATTATACACTTTTTGATAATATCTTTGAAACTATAAAAATTACAAATTAAATAATAATTATTATTATATAAAATGATTAAAATAAATTATTGAAAAAAAATCGGTTTAAGGACGGTATTATATATATATATATATATATATATATATATATATATATATATATATATATATATATATATATATATATATATATATATATATATATATATCCGTTTGAAAAGGAAGAATTTTATTTTTATTTGAGGTGTGTCATTGTACTCAAGATATCATCCAGACTGCTTATAGTATTTATATTATTTTCTTTACTCATAATTTATTTTCAGCTCTAGTTATGAGCTCACACCAATTCAATACATCCCTTCTCGCTAAAAAATACCCTTCTATTTTTTGTTATAATATGTATAATTTTTTTAAAAGCTTAATCTCAAATTTATTTCATCTCGTTTTACAAGCTCATACCCTATCGACCCATCCAAGGGTAAGAAATAAAGAACGGAAATAAAATAAAAAATGTTAACTAGAAAAACCCAACATACAGTTAAATAGTCTGTAATTACACATTAGCCTTTTCAGATTTATTTAAAATTGTAATTAGACGTTCTGTATTATCATCTTTAATAAACGAAAGTACTTGTAAGAAAGAAGTACTTCTATTGTAAATAATTATTAGTCCTTACAAACCGATCAAAATTGTAATTAAAAAACGAGCAAGGAAAAGCAATCTGACAATGCAAATTACATGTCTGAGTAAAAAAAAAAGCATCAGAAAGGTAAACTAATCATTGACATATAATATAAAACTAATTAATCAGATTTGCCAAGTGTTCTTCAAATACGACCGAGGCTGAACATTGATTTTCACACAGATTAGGACGGAAACAGCTGCTAAAATTAAAACTTACATCGGCTGATAGTTGTTTTTTTTAACTTTATTATGTTTTACCCTTTGATGAGGGAGATGTTCGTATGCAATTTATTTTTAAAATATTTAGTGTGTCTGTATGAAAGTTTATATTCATGATTACAATGGTTTGGAAATTTCTAATTATTTCAAATATATCCATGGACTTCATTTTAGCAATGTATCAACTAGGAATCAGTATCATTTGAAAGATTTGCAATGCCAGAACAAAGGTGACATGAAAAATGCGCAACGGAAAAATGCGCAACCAGGCATTTACGACATAGAAAAAATGCGCAAAGAGAAAATCTCTGACACAGAAAAATGAGCAAAGAGAATTTTCCGCACACAGAAAATGCACACACAGAAAAACACGCAAATAAGAAAATATGGCGTACTCATAAAATTATACACAAATCTCTTTCATATATTATGATGACAATGTGAGTATGCGTGTGTGTGTCTATGCTTGCATGTTTGTATGTGTCTGTATGTATACATAAACAGATATTTTAATCTTATTGTTATGATGCATGTTCGACTGGGGAAATTGGTGCGCATGAATGCTGGTGCGAAGCGATAATATTGAACGAGTGAAAGTGTGACGCGGTACGCAAGAAAGTGACGTGTTAGTGTGAGTTCGTTGTTGCCGGGGGAGAAGTTGGAATTAGTCTTGTTCATGTTATGTTAGGGTTAGGTTGCCCGTCTTAGTATCGTTTGTTCAAGCTGTCCGATATCTATTTTATAGTGTAATAAATGGAATTAGCAAACAATGTCATTCTGTCAAATCAATAGTAAGCGTTGATGTCGTCGTGTCTCAAGATGCACTATTGCATAGCTAAACATAACCAAATGGTAGTGGTATTGAAATATGGTATTGGATCAAGTAGTTCTACCCTTTCACTGCATAGCTGCGGGACACATATAGAACCCAGTTATAACACTTATTTCTGTATATTTTAATTGAAAAATCAAAGAAAGAAATGCCACTAGATTATGATAACCAAAGGTGCTTCGGTCATAGATGATTGGTGCTTCGGTCATAGATGATTGGTGCTTCGGTCATAGATGATTGGTCGACACGTTTTTTGACAACAGCCAATGTTTGTCCACAGGCAGTGTGTAATCACAGATGATTTGACCAAACGTAGTGTGTACACCCACACCCACACACACATCAACGCCCACACCGATTGATTAAGTCCCACCAGCCTGTCGGTCTGTCCGTGCGTTCGTCATTCCACCCATCTTTCTCTTTCTATCACTCTTTCTCTCTCTCTCTCTCTCTCTCTCTCTCTCTCTTTTCTCTCTCTCGCTCTCTCATTCTCCTTAGATTTAAAAATATTAGGGGGGGGAGGAAGGGGGAGGAGGGCTAAGACAATAGGCGCACCAAGGAAGAGTTTGTTAAACATGTACGTAAATCCGTCGCTGTACCTAGGTCAAAATCACGAGAGTCTTGGAGATGGGTGACTGTAGCAGAACGAACAACAACTTTTTCTAAGAATTGCATCACAGACTGCAGTCACTATTACACCGAAGAGTCACCGTTAGTGGCGTTCCCTGCTAATCTATTAGCAAATAATTTTCTTAATTTTAGACCCATGTTCAAATAGAGGTACTGACATCATTATGTGTGCAATTGCACATCCCTCTTTTAGTTAACCAGAAACACTGGAAACTTTTATTCAATGTAATTATTATTATGTAATCAGCAAGACAGTGTACAAACTGCCTATGGACAACTCCTGGCTGTGGTCAAACAATGTGTGTGCTAATCAGCAATGTTAAAATCACCTATGATCAACAACCGCGGTGAACGAACTGCCTATGGACAGCCCATGACTGTAGTCAGACAACGTATAGGCGTTGAAAGGAACGTCTATTAGGAAAAGCTTAGCAATTGACGATTGTATGCAAGTTAGAAAGTGAGGCCGCATTTTTCTGCTATAAATATTTAAAGACGTTGGAATAAAACATGTCTGTCTATGTATATACATAGGCACTTGCAAACATAAACACACACACATTGCCATAATCCTTATATGTGTGTAATTTTCGGTATGCACAATTTTTCTTGGCCCATTTTCTGAACGCGCATATTTCTCTTTGCGCATTTTTCTGTGTGCGCATGTTTCTGTTTTGCTAATTTTTCTGCGCACGCATATTTCTGTTAGCGCATTTTCTGTTTGCGTAATGTTCTGTTTTTTCATTTTTCTCTTTGCGCCCCCCCCCCCCCCCCCCTAGCTACGTCTCTGGCAGGAAGAAGTGCGATTTTTCTCTATAAAAATAAAAGTCGGATGCGATTTGACTTTGTTCGTACGAGTGTCATGAAATTTTGAGGAGTTTCAAGAAAAAAAAATTCTTAAAGGTGGCACACTGGGAGGGTGCGATTTATCTCATACGTTTTGGAGCCAAGAATCCCAGATGAGTAGCGATGGGGGGAGGGGTACATATGTCCCTGGGCGCCGACCCAAGGGGCGACAAAATGGGTTGAAAAGAAAATGAAAAGTTCATTTTAGCTGCAGTTTTGAATACTAAATATAAAAAAATTATATGGGGGGGGGGGGGGATGGGCGCCAAATTGAAAGTTTGTCCCCGGGCGCCGAGAGGGGTCGCTACGCCTCCGCAGAATCCAGAGCGGCTATCTCATCAATCGCGGTCAGAGGTACTACTGTTTTCAGCGGTAAAACACCAGGTCCATCCGCCAGCTCCCCGGCGATTGAGTGATTCGGGGCGGCCAAGAGCGTCTCCGGGATAGACTACGGTTTTGACGGGCTACTATAATTGTTCACTAAATAGAATAATGAGCGCCCGCCGGCCTCCTGGCAGTTTGCGACAGCGGGCGCCCCGGGCTCTAGCGTGAGCTTCTACTTGCTTTTTAAAGAGCACCCTACAATAGCGATACAGTGGCACACGATATTTTATAATTAAACCGAATTAGGAGCGTCCCTGCGGTATTGTAACCAGTGGCTCCCCGGAGCGCCAAGGGACGCATCTTTAACATGTGGGAGGTTGCCGATGTGGGTTCTACCTGACTATCACAGATGTTGATTAACGTACACTGAAGGCTTGGTGCGTCTAGGCGGCAGTGTGGACAACCCCGCGCACCAACATCGAAAATGTGGGTTTGTTTTTTTAAGCATTTGATATTCTCAAATTTGAGAAGTTATTATTAATACCCTGCGGAGGTTTCTGTGGAAAAAAAAAATTTCGAATTGGTGGCGGTCGGCAGTGTTTGGTTTAACTATCCCGTGAGTTGTATGTTACCTTCGTTCGTTTTAAAAATTGCGAAACACTATGAATATGATGGGCTACTTTACCAAGTGATGCGCCTTCCTACCAAGGCCCACCTACCTACATACCTAACTCCCTGCCTACCTACCTGCCTATCTACTAGCCTGCCTGGGCTGCTGCCAGCCAATTTTTTTTCGGCTGCTAACCCACCAACCTGCCCACTTGCCCACATACTTACATACATTTCTGCCTTCCTATCTACCAAACTGCCATTCTACCTGCCTGCCTTTATTCCTTTTTAATACCCTTTACCTTCCTGTATGCCCACCTACCTACATATCTACCTGCCTGCCAGCCTGCTAACCTACCTAACTGCTTTCCTTTCACCCCGCCTGTCTGCCTACCTAACAAACCAACTTACGCTCACACACATATGTGTATATGTATGTGTTAGTGTGCTCTAGGACTATGTATTTTTACATTTTTCTTGTTGGGTAGAACTATTCAGTATTATTAGTTGGGCGCTGTACCTGCCGCTAAAATATTCTATTTTTTACAAGCTTTTATTTAATTCACTTCCTCGTCAGTCGTCAGTCTGTCTGTCTAGATCGAAACGACCGAGCGAAATTGCAGGCACTTCTAGCTGACAGATACGATTCTATTAAATTTTTTAAATACATAACAAGCTTATATCTACTGATACACACAAATCTAGAATACAAATTATTTTCTTTACATATATAATAATGAACTACTATTTAAATAAATAAAAATACAAACGTTCTCACGTCGAACCCATCCATATTTCTAGAACGTTTTTGGTTTGTTTAACAATGAATTACCTATACGTAAAATTGAAAAAAATGTACATGTGTTTTATATTTAACAGTAAGGGACAAATATATTATCGCTTGTGTTAAAAGGGTTAAGAGTAGATATTTAAATGCATTTAATTCAAATTAGTGTGGTTAAACAATTTATTTTTAAAAAGGTTGTGTAATGAGTTTTTTAATGGGCTTATTGAAAGATCAGCATTGAGGCTAGTGTTGTTCATTCAACAAGCCATCCAGCCTTGTTAACATATCGTAAGTACAGTATGGATAGTGTGGTAAACCTAAAAATATTGTATAATGCTTTGTACAAATAGTTTCTTCACTATAAAAATTATAGTTTGAAGCTTTATTATGGTTAGTTCATTAACTTAAAAAACAAAATTCAATTAATAATTGCTTATTAGAATTGTTGATTATTGTTAGTAAAGCTATAAGAATATATTATCAAGTGCATGTATTCTGTAGTATCGCAATGTCAAATGGTTCTATGTCAGGGGTCGGCAACCTGCGGCTCGCGAGCCGCATGCGGCTCTTTTGATATCAAGATGAGGCTCTCCAGCTCCTTGAACAAATACTAATAATCTTAATAAAAAAATAAAATATTTAAAATAAAAAAAATGTTAGTGGCTCTTTAAAACCAGGGAAATTTTGAAAATTGTAACTTTTGGCTCTTCCGCTCCAAAAGGTTCCGACCCCTGTTCTATGTACATTCACGGTCAGCTTGTTCTATGTCGCTTAATGGTAAACTGGTTCGTTATCCGTTGGAAGAAAATAAAAAAAAAAACACGGTCATTACAAATCTTATATATTATGCTCAAACAAATTCTGTGCTCTGGTGGCGGACAGCGGGCGGACGGACCGTGGGAACACTGGCCACTGTCAAAAAAAACTATCAGTAAAGGACCATGACTTGTGTGTTTATTAAGCAGCATATACCCGGCATGGGCGTTTGACAAAAGAACACATAACCCTAAAAACTAACTCTAACGTTAAACTTGACACTAACCACAACCCACAAAAACCAAAAATCATAACACAAACACAAAAGCAAACACAAGCACAAACACAAAAGATAACGAAAACACAAACACAATCGCAAACACACAAAAGCGCTTACAGGATCCAAGAAGAGAATTATATATATACGAGCCGACCCGCTGCGTATCACACGCCGCTATTTAGTTTTATTTTCTACTTTTCAGTAATTCATAATTTGTGAATTCGACAGTACCAATGCTGCCACTGAAAATATTTGCTTTAAAACACTAAAACCCTCCTTTCCCCCAATCCCTACCATACCCCCCCCCCCGGTGAAAGCAGCCTCCTCATAGTTACCTCCCCTAAGTTTAAAATCGTTTCAAACTAAGTTATCTGTCCCTAATAACCGTCACTAAACCCGTCTCTACGATTGTAAACATTTAGCGTGAACAACAGCTCACCTGACCATGTGGGGAGGGGGGTGGTAGCAATATGCCTAGAGAGGAAGAGAGGGGACTGCAAGGCGCGCTGACAGCTTGGTGTCTTTTAATGTCTCCAAGAAGAGAATTTTATATATATATATATATATATATATATATATATATATATATATATATATATATATATATATATATACGCGTACCCGTTGCCGCGGGGATAGAAGAAAATCTGACGAGATATATAAGAAAGATTTTTATCCATGCTATACCAATATTATGTTCTTAGACGCGTGACCTCGTTTTCTAAAACTGAGTTATTTAAATATAAACAATGCATGCGCTTGGATTATAAATATCGGGACACGGGTTTACATCCACTACAGCATGAAAACCTTGAGTGTACGTTAATCATTCACCAAAATAATGAGGTAGAACACACTTCGGTGACCGACCGTGTGTCAGGGACGTAGAAGGGCGCTCTCGGGAGCCTCCGATTACACTACAACATAGGCGTCTTAGTGTTCGTAGGGGAATCCGTGGTGCTTCGGTTCGTGCAATCTACGGGGCGCCGATGGTTGTGCCTGTGGAAGTTTTAACGCTGAATATATGCAGGACGCACGATTAAAGGATGCTCAGTGTTAACATAGCCGCTTTGGAACTCTGGGCGCCAGATTGTGGATTGACAAAAATCGCACCTTCTCGGGCGCCGCTCATATCAGATTTTAATTATTTTGTTAACAGAAACCTTCCAGGAAGTATTCTAATAAACTCCTTAAAGTTTTTTAGCACTCGGATGAACCGTGCCGACTGCATTCGACTTTAATCTTTTATATACCGGATATAGACAAAAATCGCACCCTCCCGTGGCGATGCCCTTGCGAAATTAAAAAAAAGATTTGTTTTTGCAGAACCCTTCCCTGCAGTGTTTTAATCAACTCCATAAAGTTTCATAGCTATCGGATAAACGGTGTCGAGCCACATCCGACTTTTATTTTATTTTTAAAATTACTTTTAACGTTTCATTTGATGTAAAATTAACGTTAAGGGACAAATACATCACTAACGTTTAAAGGGTTAATATTAGATATTTAAATGCACTATATCCTAAATAATATATTTAAACTTTTAAAAAAGTGACTCAATAATTATTTGTGTATTAGAATTGTTGATTATCTTTAGTAAACCTACTAGAGGATCTATGTTAATTCATGGTCAACTTGTTCTTCGTTCCTTGATAGTAAACTAGTTCGTTATTTATTCGTTGGAACAAAATGAAAAATTATTTCAAGGCCATTAATTTAAAAAAAAAGTATAATTTACAATCCAAAGTTTGCATGTAAACTGAAGTAACTACGTTCCCAAGCATCAAACCAGTCTTAGCTCTAGGGATAGAAACAGTATTTATTATTTTATGTACAGGGCGAGAAGCTAATGATGCATATGTTGATTTTAATGATGCTTTTGCTGATCTCAGCTGAAATAGAAGCCAACCCGTTCACAAGAAGAGCTAAAGGGTAAGTTGTATTCATTTTACCCCATACACCCAGTCATTACCAATGCCAAAATAGTTTACTACTAGACATGTTTCTACATGACTCGGACAATATACTCGGCTTCGATTTGTAAAAGTTGTTTTTAAAAAGCATTTTAAGTGTCCAACATGTCGGGGGTCGTTTAGTTACACCCTCTTATTAACAATGCTATTTTATTAATAGACACTTTTTTAAAAACGTTTTAATAACAAGATTTTATGTAATAATGCACTAAAAAGTAGAAAATAAATTATACTCTATTATTTAAATTACTATAAAGAAATATATATATATATATAAATGTGGGCTGAATTAAGCTGCAAATGTCCTTACACTTTACCAAAAATTATCAAAAACTTTTTAAAATGTATATGGGCATAATAACCGTTTAGGATGCCTTGAAATGTTTTATAATGAACATGTACATAAAAAGTTTAAAGATGCCCCCAACAATAGATAGCATGATGATGGGTATAAATATTGTATGGATGCCCTTCAAATATATCAAATGAATTTAAGCTTAAGATGCGCCTGCAGTGTATAAATATAAATATGGTTATAATTACTCTACGGATCTCCTTGTAAAGTAGTATAATGAATATGGGCATAATTACTTTAAATAAATTAAAATGCCCCTGCAGTCCCTTCAAATCAAATGGTCGAAAGTATTCGTAAAGATCCCTAAAACTATACTAAACAAAATACTTTAAAAAAACTTTAAAAAAAAACACGTTTTTCTTGTGGACTAAAAAGTAGAAAATAAATTTTTCTTCCGACCCTAGGGGATCTACCAATGACTGCTCGTAGATTTTGTGCTTCCTCGAGCTGTGCAGGTTCTTGTGATGACTGTTCATACATTCGATGACAAAAAACGTGTGTACGTTCACCATCAAATTTCCCGACCCATCTGCCCGACCCACGTTTTTTTGTCATCAAATGTCATCTATCCAGATAGATGTCACATCAATTTCATTTTTTTCAGGTGATGTGGCTGATATTGTATAGCATTTCGTAGCCAAGTGCATTATATGGAAAACGTAGCTTATTGTACTCTAATTTACAGTTTACTGAATGCTGGAATTTTAGGAACTGGGACCATGATGCCGGCTAATTATTTAGAAAGATTATTAGTAGCAACACCTAACTCAAATTTGCGCAAACGTTATACAAAAATAAATATTAAAAAGTCATATATTATATAATAATACACAACGATATCAGTATCCATGTCCGTATCCGCATCCATATCCGTAACTATATATATTTATCTCAGAACAAAATTGCAATGGCGTAGTTAGGGAAGTTCTGGTGGGGCGGCGCCACGGGCCCAATTCAGGGAGAGCAATAAAGGGGTAGAATTTTTTTTTTAAAAAAAAAGCTCATTTTATGTTTATGTATTGGTTTATACACAAATGTAATAGTGTCAACTGCTAGATAGATTTACTCTCTGATTTAACTTTCGTTTTTATACAATAATTGTGTTACACAAAAAAAGCTATACGAGATAGTGACTGCTAAATAGTATCAATAAACTTTCCAAATGGGGGCATAGGGGCGTTTTTTCACTAAACTTAAATAATTATATTTTACAAAGGGCTGGACGAGGGGCGCAACATTATTAGTTCGCCGGGCGCCGGAGTGGGTCGATACACTTTTGCAACACTGACAAAGGCTTCAAGTTCAAATACTAGTAAAATTAATGACTAAAAGTACACATATCAACTTGCTCTCAACTTTAATTAATTGTAATTCATTGTCTACAATCCTACACACTACTTTTGCTATTTAGCTGTCCAAAAATAAAATTTCAATATTTAAATTCTACTTCCGAGCGAACTACATTAACACTGGTTCGACTGGCCTTTAATACTCGACTGACCAACTCACTATGACTTATGACTCGTCATCTCACGTCTCGTTGTTGCCTATATATTTCAACTAATTAAACAATCTCTATGTTAAGTTACCTACACCATTCTACATTTTTTCTCTCTTCGATTTATTTCTAATGTCTAAACTTGTATTATCACACTATAGTAAACCCAATCTCTAACCCTAACAAAATCCTTAATAGAATTTTAACCCTATCATTAACCGAAAAGAAGAAATATACATATCTTTATTCATATCCCTTTATACGTTATCATTTAAGATTCATGTTTACACATTTTTATTCAATAGTTGTGCCGATCGGAATCAAAATTGTCACTGGAGAGTGGCTTGTTGTAGCCTTAAGGATAAATGCAAGTTAGTAATTTTAAATTTTATGTTCATATTGCAAGCAATAATATTATAATATAAACACATACACATATACGCTAGCATGTACACACACACATAAAACACACACACATTATATATGTATATATATATATATATATATATATATATATATATATATATATATATATATATATATACATACATATATATATATATATATATATATATATACATATATATATATATATATATATATATATATATATATATATATACATATATATATATATATATATATATATACATATATATATATATATGTATGTATATATATATATATATATATATGTATATGTATATATATATATATATATATATATATATATATATATATACATATATATATATATATATATGTATATGTTTATTTATTTATTTATAAATATATATTTGTTGTTTGTTTTTACTTGTTCTTTTGTACTTTTGCTCATTTTTCCTATTTTAATTTCTTCTTTTTACTTTCTCGTATATACGAAGTATAGAGAAAGTCTTGTAATCGTGCAAAAAAAAAAATCGAGATTTTTACAAATCTCGACGTTTCACACCTCACTGATACGGAAAAACATAATTTTGCAATTTTTGTCCGTATGTCTGTGTGTCTGTGTGTCTGTCTGTCTGTCTGTCTGTCTGTCCGTGTGTAAACACGATAACTTGAGTACCGTTATAGCTAGGTTGATGAAATTTCATTTATAAGTATTTTATCAAAATCGTAGATCCGTTTCAACTTTTGAGCGATTTCCGATAACCGGAAGTGGTTCTTTTTCTACTTTGAATCTTTAAAAGCCTATAACTTGAGTTCTATTTCAGATAGATAAATGAAATTTCACATGTAAGTAAAAGATCTAATTTCTACCTTCTGTTAAATTTTGAGTAATTTCCGTTGACCGGAAGTAGTAATTTACCCTTCTTCCGATTTCTCAAAAAACTAATGTAAAATTTTTAAGTACTAATAATATTGCGCACTATTATGCACTTTTTTATTTGGCGTTCAATTGGTGTGCAATTCTTTTGTCTACGAGATTTTATTCTATTTTTAAAACTTTAAGTATTTAAAATGGATTAAAAATCATGTCTATAGCTCGAGTTCCCATCCCCTGTTTTTTTATATAAGAATATTCCAAAAAGTTTAGGAGAGATCACTCCCGGTTTATTTTTCATTTGTTCGTGCTTTTATTTCCTTGTAAATTATTTTTTTTTAATTAATTAATTTATTTGTTTTTTTTTTTACATATTTGTGTATATGTTAGTTTGTTGTTTTTATTAGTTTATACGTTGATTTGTTTATTCCCATGTGTGTTTATCCTTTTTTTAAATTTTCTTTGTTTATTTACTTTAAATGTTCTGCATGTATTATAAATACACATGTAATTTCAAGATTCAAAATGTCCTGAAAACTGAAATTCAACAGGATGCGTCCAGATCACAGATTGCCAAGATGTTTATCAATTTGATTTGCCTATGTTAAACTATTAAACTCTGGATGTCTTTAAGATTTTTTTATTATAAGTTTACTTTCTTTTTTTTTTAGCTGTTTTATTTTTTTTTAATCTGGACATCAGTTACTTATTTTAAAAGGTAAATTAGCTAAAACCACTACTAATTTTGAAGTATTTTAGATTCCCAAAAATGAAATGGTAAACATAATAAATAAAACTAAAAATCAATATTAAACAATGTAAAAAGTTTTTGCACACATATAAACAACTAGCTCATCACATGTTGCTAAAAACTATGCTCAGTTTTGCTTTCTCTGACTCAAATAGTTCACAACATTTTTATAAATTATAGTATTTTGAAACGAAATATATACAAGCAATCTCTAGGATCTATGGTATATTCATCAAGCTGTTTAGGGATAGTCATAAAGATTGTTGATGTATTAAACTAGCCAACTTCTTTCAAACTTTTGCTCAGATTTTGACATTGATCCCTCCACACATACATTACATCCTCAGATACGAACTAAATATTTACAAGTATACACTATATCCCAACACAGATACATTAAATCTGTTGACACTTACATAAAAACCCTACACACAGACACTAAATCCAAACAGAGATATACTACGTCAGTAAACAAAAACATTCCGTCTTTACAAACCCTTATCGAACCTACACTTCCCGATAAAATATTACTCTTATAATTTACTTCTTTTACACTTCTACCAACAAGATCAGAATCATTTTTACACATGATTCAAATAATTTAAATGCACGATGTAGTAAAGTGAGGCAAACTCCTTGCACTAATCCTTTTATACACAAACATACTACACATACATACAAACCCTTATCGAACCTACACTTCCCGATAAAATATTACTCTTGTCATTTACTTCCTTTACACTTCTACCAACAAGAGCAGATTCATTTTTAACACATGATTCAATTATTCAATTAATTTAAATGCACTATGTAGTAAAGTGAGGCAAACTCCTTGCACTAATCCTTTTATAGACAAACATACTACAAATTGAAGCATTTAATCTCCATGTTTAATCTTTTGTTTTTATTTCAAGATCAACGTGTTTATATTACAATACATAATTTTAAATCTTATATAATTCTATCGGAGGTGGCCGATCAGTATAATTCAGTCCTGCTAACCCAAAAGGCGCTTGTTCGGATTTGAGCCGTAAGATGTCAGTAAATTTACTCTAGTATAAGTTAAGGCGTCTAGGCAAAGAAGCGACTACAATATACTTAAACATTATAGTTGAATATGAAGTCCAAATGATTATCAGTGCTACGTTTTTTAAGTAAAAGAACAAGAACAATATTTATGCTGTAACTTTATGCCAGGGCTTATTTTGTTAACATATCACATCTGACAGGTTAATTATACATTTTAAATTCGATGATTTCCAAACATTAATTGTGTTATTGAACTAAGCAAACACAAAAGTGGTTTGAGTACAAGCTAGGGTTATAGATATCAATACAATTTGGGTGCTTAAACAAAAAAATAATAAAAACCAAATGTTTAATTTCGTCTTTGTAAAATCATAACGGAGCAACTATTAACGAGGTTTGCTGTTATGTGCCTATCTGTAACGCCCTACATTAAGCTGGGTTGCGAAAAACACTGCTATAATTTACTTCAATGTCAGATCAATTTATTCAATTTATTTATTCAATTACGGTAACAATAGTAGGCACGAAGGCATTTTTTCACGTTTTAAAATAAACAAATAAAACAACAATTCAATAACAGTAATTGCATGGTAACGACATAGCAGTAGCATAGCACTAAAAATGTGAATAAAGAAATAATATTACATAGTTATAATACAAAAAAAGATAAACAAAAGAATATAATAGATGAGTGAGAAATGTTTCAATGAGTCAGTTAGAGAGGTCATTAAATAATTGTTGTTTTAGTTTAGATTTGAATATATTTTCAGATCTAGATAGCTTTGTTTTATTAGGAAGATTGTTCCACAAATTAGAACCAGAGTAGGCGAAGCTATGTTTTTGGAAAAAAGTTGTATATGGGAATGGTAAATTAAGACGACGATTTAATTTTATGTTAAAAGAAAATAGGTCTGATAAGTAGGAGGGGGCTGTTTCGTGGAATATTTTATATAAGAAAATTGATTTAGTATATATTATCTTTTTATTTAATGGAAGTATTTTAGTTGTAAGAAAAGAATCCAGACTACTAGACAAGCCAGTATCCAGTTTTATAGCCCTTTTTTTGTAATGATAGAAGAGGACGCTGCTTAGATATAAAGCTGCCGCTCAATACTACAGAAGCATAATCCAACCTAGATTGAATAAAAGCTTCATAAAAAACTAGCCTTCTCCTATAGTCCAGAAAGTTCTTTATCGCTAGTTGAAAAGTTGTCTTTAATAAGGACATTCTTAGATGATGAATACGATCGGACCAAGTGAGGTTGTGATCTATAACCAATCCTAGGCATTTGTAACTGTTAACCTCTTCAATGCTTGTATTGTCTATAGTAATGCGTAATGCGGTGGATGGAAGACGAAGGCGTTTCTGATGAGTTGTAATAATGATGGACTTGGTTTTATCGGGGTGAAGTTTCATTTTGTTAAATTTTGTCCATGTAGCAAGCTGATTGGCACATGTTTGAAGTTTGTAACTGAGTGACTCAGCACTGTCTGCAAAGATATGTAAGGAGGTATCATCAGCAAACATCTCGCACTGACCTGCGTCGATGTGCAAAGCAAGATCATTAATGTTTAAAGAAAAAAGTAAAGGTCCTAAGATTGAGCCCTGTGGAACCCCTATATTAACATATTTCTGTGAAGAGATGGTATTAAGGTGAAACACGCGTTGAGATCGGTTAGATAAAAAGGAGTGAAGTAACCTAACTGTAAAGTCGTGGAATTTGTATGGAATTAGTTTGTTAAGAAGTATGGTGTGATCAATAGAATCAAAGGCTTTTCTGAAATCGACGAACAGCGTGCCACAGAGTAGGTTTTTGTTAATATTTTAAAGCCAGTTTTCATTCATCTTATTCAAAGCAGTGGGTCAGCGTGGTCGAGTCGGTAAAGCTCATGGTTGCTAAACCAAAAAGTCTCGAGTTCTAACCCTCGGCGGATGAGGCTCATTAGCTGGGGACAGCCACTCTTCTAGGAGAGACAACTCCAAAATAAATTAAACAACTGCTGCCTTGTAGTTTGGTCTTGGTTGGACAAAGGCTATAGAAGCAAATCCAAAAAGAAAAGCAGGCTGAAATTGGAGTCAATGGCCTCAATGGCGTATAACCAGTTGACACGTAATCCTTAATTGTGATGGAAGCATGGTCGAGTCGGCAAAGCTCATGGTTGATAAATTCGAAAAAAGTCTCGAGTTCAAACCCTCTGGCAGATAAGGCTCGATCCCTTCCTACACTAAAAATTAAGAACGAAGAAGAAGAAGAAGAATCAAAGCAGTGTGACAAGAATGAAACTAAACCCAGACTGATTACTATGGAAAAGCTTATGCTTTTCGAGGTAGTTTGACATGCATTTGTTTAGATGTATTTCTAGTGGCCCGGAGAGGGAAGAAAGTATAGAAATTGGCCTGTAGTTATTAGCATCTTGGATGTTACCTTCTTGTGTAGTGGTATAACCTTAGCATGCTTTAAATGTTTCGGGTAATAATGCTTGGCAATACAGAGGTTATACACATAGGTTAAAACTTCAGAGATTATTGGAGCTGAAACCTTCAATACTTTATTAGAGATATCATCAAACGAAGTTGTTGTAGACTGTTTAAGAGATCTTAGGCTAACATAAACCTCATGAACAGTGAGAAGCGGAATGATCAGCTCTGTCCTACCACGGTGAGCAGAATGACAAACAATTTTAAGCTCCTCACTGATTGTGTAATCAGAATCTGTGTTGAGCGCTACAGATGATATAAAATGATTGTTAAAATCATCAGCAGATATCTGGCAATGTCCAGCTGTATTACATGTGCGTTTTTTTCTAATTATTTGAATTATGGCAGTCCAGATAGATTTGGAATTAGGTTTGCCTGACAGCAGCTAATTAAAATACTCCTTCTTCGACCTACGCACGAGCAGTTTGACATAATTTCGTTGCCTACAAAAGTCCTCAGTAGTTCCATAACGTTTAAGCCAGTCTCTTTTATTAATTGCAGATTCGATATTGTTGTTAAACCAAGAAGGTTTGTATGTATTCTTAACTCTTTTAGAGAGTTTAGGTATATGTTTGTCATATATAGTATAGAAAATAAGAAGCCATTCAGAAATTGCTAGATCGGGATTTGTAATTGTATACTTTGCAGAAGGGGGCAGCCAATAAATCCGCAAGAAAAAGATCTTCATTAAATTTTCTAAAAGAGCGATAATTTATAGTGATGTGTTGCCGCGAAGGTACACATAATCTCTTTGGCGAAAAAGTACAACAAACAGGGAAATGGTCACTAACACCACAAGAGGGGACACAGACATCTATTAGGTTGCAGTCAGTGATGTGTAGATGTGATCAATTATTGTACTTGATTTATCATTGACCCTGGTAGCCGTGTGTACAAATTGTTTTAGATTCAGAGAATCAACAATATTTTGCCAATATCCTTGAGGTTTTAATAAATTTATATTAAAATCTCCCAATATGATATATTCATTGTTAGTAGATAAAACGGTATCTATCATGGAGCAAAAACGATCATACCATTCCATGTTTTCGCAGGGATTTCTATAAAGGAAGCACTTTGGTGATGAGAATACCAGACACATCCTAACATGTAAATACACCCACCACTAGAGCAAAGACATGTACGTGCTGTGAACGTATATTGGCTAAACTATCTGTTGTCATGGTCCTATAGAGACCTGTTTATGACAACCATCTAGTGTGTGTCCATAGTCCTACAGAGACAATTTTAGGCCAACCTTCTGGTGTGTGTCCATGGTCCTACAGAGACCTATTTAGGCCAACCATCTGTTGTGTCCATGGTCCTACAGAGACCTGTTTAGGACAATCATCTGGAAGTGACACGATAATGACTAAATATTAACAAAATGATCTATATTGTGAAATTCCGCTCTATTTTCCGACAAAGGTCACAAATTCACCTGCTCATCTTGTCCAGGTCATTAACCTACTCACATGACATACGTATAATCCAATACCTATCTCTTTCGATGGTAGCCCTCCGCCCTCAACCAACTAACGTGACACACATATAATCCAATACCTATCTCTTTCGATGGTAGCCCTCCGCCCTCAACCAACTCACATGACATACATATAATCCAATACCTATCTCTTTCGATGGTAGCCCTCGCCCTCAAGGCTGAACCCCAGGACTATAACTGTCATCAAGACTCACAACGTAAAACCTCGCTTTTTAATAACTAACGTTTATGTAACAATGCCCTAAAAAGTAGAAAATAAATTGTAAATTACTGTAAAGAAAAGCGTGGGTCACGTTATTATCTATTGGATACCTTTACTAATATTAAAGAGGATACCCGCGCTGTTCTTTATAGTAATTTTAATGGTAGTGTATTAAGGAAAATCATTTATTTTCTACTTTTAAATGCATTAGGGGTCATCCATAAATGACGTCACGCTTTTTTGACAATTTTTACCTCCCCCCTTCCCCTCCGTCACACTTCGTCACAAAAAGCCAGACCCTCCCCCCTAAAATGACGTCACAACTCAACCTACAACTCCCCTCAAAATTGCAGTTGAATTTTTTTTTAAACATCGATATTTTTCCAAAATCTTGTCTGAAATATGTCAAAATAGAGTATTTTAATCAATTCCCATTACAATTTATTAAAACTGTTTTCTAAAACGCAAAATAACGTCTATAATTCGTTTTCTAACATTTATTTTCTGACCCCCCTCCCCCTCATCACACATCGTCACAAAATTACCGACCCCTCCCCCTTCCCCCTACGTGTGTGACGTCATTTATGGACGACCCATTATTACATAAAAGAGTGGTATTAAACAGTTTTTAATGGATATTTTAATTATCTGAATTTCACCTCACAGTAGTCTTGCAAACATCCACACAAACAACTGATGGTTCTTAACCCCACTCAAATAGATGAGTTTTCCATAACATTAAGCTAACCACTATAGACTGTACATTTACCAGAAATAAGCGATGGGCTATGAAAAGGTACTTGACAATAGATGTATCTTGCCACCTGTAAACGTAAGGATAGCAGATATATCAAAGTTGTTTAGCCTTGGTAGCTCTGTGTGTGTTTGTGTATGTGAGTGTGCGTGTGCTTGTGCGTGAATGTGAATGTGAATCCGTGTATGAGATTATGCGCGTGTGTGGGTGTGTGAGTTTGAGTGTGTGTTGTGACTTACGTTAAATTAGAAACACGTTCTGGTCGTGAAATGAAATGAGATTTCCTAACAATGTAATAGCTAGATAAATTTAAGCTTACGATTAACAAACTCAAAAGCTAAACACCGGTCTTGAAAATCAATATGTTATCTTTCGTCCAGTCATTCAAATGTCTAGATACCGCATAATGAAGAGATCAAAAACATCTGTTTACTACAGTTTACTACATAGTCATTAGGAGACAGTGCTAAGGGGTCATCCATAAATGACGTCACACTCGTAGGGGGGAGGGGGGGTCCGTAATTTTGTGACGATGTGTGATGAGGGGGAGGGGGGGGGGGGGGGTCAGATGTTGCGACGTCAAATTTTTGCATTATAAAAAAGCAATGTTAGAAAACGAATTTTAGACGTTATTTCGCGTTTTAGATAACTGTTTTAATAAATTGTAATAGTTTAGACAAGATTTTGGAAAAATATCAATGTTTTAAAAAAATTCAACTGCAATTTTGAGGGGGGTTGTAGGTTGAGGCGTGACGTCATTTTAGGGGGGGGGTCTGGCTTTTTGTGACGAAGTGTGACGGAGGGGAGGGGGGAGGTAAAAATCGTCCAAAAAAGCGTGACGTCATTTATGGATGACCCCTAAGTTTAGTAAAGTTATTCACAACCAAATTAGTGTGTTATTTTAAATTAAGGTCACCTCTATAAATATAACGGTTTTACCGTTTTAAATACATTTTGAGCTACACACTTTGCAATTATCAGCTACACACTACATTGTTATTATCAACAAAAAAATAAATGATGTATCCCTTCTGTTTCTTATGGAGATATACAATGGCTTAGCGACGACTTTTGGGCCCCTATGCAAGAATTATCAATGGACCCCTTCGTCAACCGTTAGGCTAAAACGGAGTTAATCATGGGCAACGAAGAAATCGATTGCTACTTGCGAGGGAAGATGTGCATTTTTGTATTTTATACGTCCTGATTGTGTATTCATACTGTGCTGTAATATCATGTACTATCCCGAAGCGTAAAAACTTTTGCGTCACAAGGCAAAGGTCCGCACTAGGTAATACCATTTAGGCGCGACACCATGACGAAAAAGTTGTAAAATGTACTGTCAAAAGTATGTTTTATCCAGTTAAAATAGTAAAATCTTATGAAGAGAGTGGTGACACTCCACCGAAAATTCAAAATTGTTGGAGGGGGGTGGGGGTGAGTCGTTGGGGTGACTGACGCCTTCAGTAATGCACAGCGGGACAGCCGACCTTGTGATCACCAACAAAATACAATTTTAACATTTGTTTCATAACATCATCATAATAAATAAACAAATTCCAACATAATCTCCTTCTCGATCATCATGGAATGCTAAAGAATGTGTGTACGGTACTAGTGTACCCGTCCGCGTTGCTGCGACCTAGTCGTATATACCAGTTTGAAAAAACACTGTATAATGGTTTTTTCAACGTGTTACCTTACCAAATGTGTATTTTAGAAGTGTGACCTTGTTTTCTAAAACTGAGATCGTTCAAATGTAAACGTCACTGATGCTATAGTTCATTGATCTTTGAAGCTGGACGCGGGTTTGTCCACACTAACGCCACAGGGCGTGCTTTATGAAAGCCTTGAGTGACGATGTGCACCTGGACACACTACCGCTAGGGCGCCGGCTGATGCGCCTGTACAATTCGACCTTTGAATCAAGTAATAACCCTGACTCACTGTGCAGGACGTCCAATCAACGTAGCCCAGGACAGACAAACAAACATAAATCTTATAGTGTTAGGAGCGTCATATTGATTAAATATAAATTAGATCAGTTAACAAAATGTCAATGAGGTTAAAACAATCAGAACAACATTGACAAAATGTTAGACTTAGCTTGTTGTAAAAACACTACCCATTGTAGTTACCCGAAACAAAATTGCTCAATTGTTATCGAGGATGTTTAGTAGGATGAAATTTCGGGGAGGGCAGACAGTTAAAAGGGAGATGCAGGTCTCTGGGGGTAGAGAGTTTCTCTGTCAGTTAATTTCAAGCTTTTAGCGTTCATCTCTGAGTTTATTTTATAGGCTAATTATCTCAATGGCTTGCCCGCACTGCGGCAGCGCCTGTGGTGTTATAAATACGCGTGGGCCCTGTTCGACGCCTAAACACCCCCTACACACACATTGAATGCCGATGCTGTACACCATGAAAGGACTGGGGACCTTTTTTGAAATTTGAAAATATTTCTACTGTAGTAAAAAACTACTGGATTTTCATTTCCTTTTTAAAATTATTTATATAAAATAAATATTAACATTCCAATGTAAATGTTTTGACTTTTTTAAGACGGAAAAGGGCTTACTCTAGCTTTTCGATAGCTACTACTCTAGACATACAGGCCATAATGTAAGCTACCATTTTATTTATTGTTTAAATGCCAGTGAAAAAGCGTTTTTCTGTAACATTTGAGAGTCAGGTGAGAACAATGCATTTGGTGTAAAATGAACTTTGAAGGACAAATACATCCCTTGGCGTTTAAAGGTTAAACATCGGATAAGTAGTTTGTTCAAATAAGTTATTGCTCGAAAGAATATGTAATGCGTTTTGTGATGTGTTATTGAACAATGAATCATAGTGTAAGCAGTACATTCAGCAAGCCACCCAGCCTTGAAGAAATAGCGTAAGTAGGCCTACAGCATGGATAGTGTAATAAAACTAAAAATCCTTACAGTAACTTATTAGAAAAGTGATTTGATTACTTTTAATTGATTATCTTAAAACCATAAGAATTGTTGATTCACCTTTGTAAACCTATAAAACTGTATTAGTTATTTAAAGACCTTTTTTTATTCCCGAATTAAAAAGTGGTTCTATGTCAAATGCAGTCAACTGGTTTACAGTCAACTGGTTCATGGTTTATTTATGGTTTACTGGTTCAATGTCTATTTATGGTCAACAGATTTTATGTCCATTTTATGGTCAACTGGTTCCTAGTCCATTCATGGTCAACTTGTTTATATCCATTTCATGGTCAATTTGTTCCTGGACCATTAATAGTCAACTGGTTCTGTGTCTCTTCATAGGAACGAAATGAATAAGCTGTTCAATGATATTACATTTGCTTTTAATATAATCGGCATTCGTTGTTTTTTTTTACCCAAAATATGCACGTATACTAACGCAAATAGTTTTCCAAACATCTAAACACATTGTTCGCCACGGACCAGTTTGTAATTCTATTACCAGGAAAAGTTGCTGTCGATGTATAAGCTGATTTTCATAATGCTGATGTTGTGCTCAGCAGTCATGGGTGCTAGAAAGAAAAGGTTCCAGTATATGGGGTATGTGTTTTTCACTTTATTCAAAGGTTTAGTTTACCACTAAACAGGCTAACACAGAACTTAATGACTCTGCCTAGCTGGCCCATTCTACCGCTGTTGGTTTTGTTAAACCTCTTTTAGAAGTCTTTTTTGTTTACACTTTTTTATTCAGCTATTGTGCACCAGCAAATTTATAAGTCTTTTTTGTTTACAATTTTTACTTTCTCGTATATACGTAGTATAGAGAAAGTATTGTAATCGTGCAAAAAAAAAATCGAGATTTTTACTAATCTCGACGTTTTACACCTCACTGATGCGGAAAAACATAATTTTGCAATCTTGCCCGTATGTCTGTGTGTCTGTCTGTGTGTGTGTGTGTCTGTCTGTCTATCTCTGTGTAAACACGATAACTTGAGTACCGTTACAGCTAGGTTGATGAAATTTCATGTATCAATATTTTATCAAAATCGTAGATCCGTATCAACTTTTGAACGATTTCCGATTACCGAAAGTGGTACCTTTTTCTAGTTTGAATTTTTCAAAAGCCTATAACTTGAGTACTATTTCAGATAGATAAATGAAATTTCCCATGTAAATAAAATATCTAATTCTCTACCTTCTGTCAAATTTTGAGTAATTTCCGATGAACGGAAGTACTAATTTACGCTATTTCCGATTTCTCAAAAAAAAAAACGCATGTAAATTTATAAAGTACTAATAATATTGCGCACTATTATGCACATTTATTTTGGCGTTCGCTTGGTGCGCAATTCTTTTTTCTATGAGATTCTATTCTATTTTAAAAAGTTTAAGTATTTAAAATGGATTAAAAATCATAACTATATCTCGAGTTCCCATCCTCTGTTGTTTTATATGAGAATATTCGAGAAAGTTTAGTGGAGATCACTCCCGGTTTATTTATAAGACTTTTTTATTACAATTTTTTTATTCAGCAATTGTGCACCAGCGTATATGGCTTGTGACCAGTGGATACCTTGTTGTGACAGAAATCATCAATGCAGGTCAATAACCTCCTAGCCCTAGCCCTAGCCCTAGCCCTAGCCCTAGACCTAGCCCTAGTCCTAGCCCTAGCCCTAGCCCTAGCCCTAGCCCTAGCCCTAGACCTAGACCTAGCCCTAGCCCTAGCCCTAGCCCTAGCCCTAGACCTAGACCTAGACCTAGACCTAGACCTAGACCTAGACCTAGACCTAGACCTAGCCATAGCCCTAGCCCTAAACCTAAACCTAAACCTAGCCCTAGCCCTAGCCCTAGACCTAGACCTAGACCTAGACCTAGACCTAGACCTAGACCTAGACCTAGACCTAGACCTAGACCTAGACCTAGTCCCAGACCCAGACCTAGACCTAGACCTAGACCTAGACCTAGACCTAGACCTAGACCTAGACCTAGACCTAGACCTAGACCTAGACCTAGACCTAGACCTAGACCTAGACCTAGACCTAGACCTAGACCTAGACCTAGACCTAGACCTAGACCTAGACCTAGACCTAGACCTAGACCTAGACCTAGACCTAGACCTAGACCTAGCCCTAGACCTAGCCCTAGACCTAGCCCTAGACCTAGCCCTAGACCTAGACCTAGACCTAGACCTAGACCTAGTCCTAGACCTAGACCTAGACCTAGACCTAGACCTAGACCTAGACCTAGACCTAGACCTAGACCTAGACCTAGACCTAGACCTAGACCTAGACCTAGACCTAGACCTAGACCTAGACCTAGACCTAGACCTAGACCTAGACCTAGTCCTAGACCTAGACCTAGACCTAGACCTAGACCTAGACCTAGACCTAGACCTAGACCTAGACCTAGACCTAGACCTAGACCTAGACCTAGACCTAGACCTAGACCTAGACCTAGACCTAGACCTAGACCTAGACCTAGACCTAGACCTAGACCTAGACCTAGACCTAGACCTAGACCTAGACCTAGACCTAGACCTAGACCTAGACCTAGACCTAGACCTAGACCTAGACCTAGACCTAGACCTAGACCTAGACCTAGACCTAGACCTAGACCTAGACCTAGACCTAGACCTAGACCTAGACCTAGACCTAGACCTAGACCTAGACCTAGACCTAGACCTAGACCTAGACCTAGACCTAGACCTAGACCTAGACCTAGACCTAGACCTAGACCTAGACCTAGACCTAGACCTAGACCTAGACCTAGACCTAGACCTAGATCTAGATCTAGACCTAGTATTTTGTTAGAAATCAATTAATTAATATAAATTATATATTCACTAGTTCGTTTTTTATTAATTGATAGATTTTTGTTTGATTTTTATTTTTTTAAATATATTAAAATTGTATTAATTACCTAATTTTTATAGCTTTTAAAAAAATTGTATATATTGTGTATGTGTTGAAAAAAACAATATATGTAATTGATTCACTATTGACTCAACCATTAATTGAAAACAGATGGCAAAGGAGAAAAGATTTTTGGCCAAAATGTCTACCGAGTTGATGTTCTACTATTAAACATTGTATTGCCTTCATGGTGCTTAGTATAAACCATTTTTGTGAAGGTAGCTAGTAAATAAATTACACACTACTCGAAAGACAAGTTATTCAAATCATCACTCATTTGTTTTTAATTCAACTCGTGAAAAAGAAAGGATAAGCTTAATTAATAAAATAATAAATGCAAATATTAAGCGTAAGTGAAGATTGAAAGTAAGTGTTTACAAATCAATTATGTAAGATATAACAAAGTAACTGATTACTTTAAAAAAGTTCAGAGAACATATTTCTTTGGTTTTTTTTTTTTACAATTTCCCTAGACATTTTAGTAACTTGTTAAAGGAACGTGATAGAATCTCTGGAATCGCTTATTCCAGTAAACAGAAAAAAACAGGGTGCTTATTTTGGTAAAGTGCGAACTATATTTCAGTAAAGTGCGAACTATAATTCAGTAAAGTGCGAACTATATTTCGGTAAAGTGCGAACTATATTTCGGTAAAGTGCGAACTATAATTCAGTAAAGTGCGAACTATAATCCAGTAAAGTGCGAACTATAATTCAGTAAAGTGCGAACTATAATTCAGTAAAGTGCGAACTATATTTCAGTAAAGTGCGAACTATAATTCAGTAAAGTGCGACCTATAATTCAGTAAAGTGCGAACTATATTTCATCAGCTCCAGTGAATCCAGATCAGCCTATATTTTAAAGTTTTTGGTCGACCTATTTTTGTTATCGTTGTGGATACCAACTCGATGTCTGCCTTGGGATATTGGTTGGCGGTCTGCGCAGGGTATGCCCTCGTGAACCCGTTTTTTCCTAATTTCTTAATCTCAGGAATGATGTCCTGTCGTTCCCCATAGGTGTGTGTTGCTAATGTTATCGGATTGATTTGTATTTGATTGAAGCAGCTATGTATAAAGGTCTGGACTTTATAAATGGTTGTACTGGTCGTCATCAAATTCTATACATTAAATAAACTGGTTTGCGTTGGAGTTAGAAAGCTTAATGGAGGCCCAGATTTTCCTTACATGTGTAAAGTCTGCTCTAGCTTTGCCAATCCTTGCTGTAACTTCCGTACCTTTTCTCCCTGATGGTCCTAAATCCTTTCTAAGTGGGTAAGGACTTCTTATTCTCTCAGAGGACCCCACCAGTGTGACATGTCCAGCGTTAAACCTTAGCCCTTATGTGTTTTGTTAAGTTTTTTCTGCATCCGTGTTTATTTTCTCTTGCATCTGCTGTTGGTTGTGAGAGAGGAGAGCAATGTCATCTGCAAAGGCAAAGTCATCAATTTTCCAAAGGCATCTTGTACAGATACTAGATACACACAATTTTAGATGGTTTGTGTTAATAACTCTATGTGGGTGGGGAATGTGTGTGTACAGAAAAATAAAAACATCAGCACTGACAGATGTACTAAATGAACATATACTTAAATACCTCGGGTAAATTTAGTAAAAACAATATAAAACACTCAGGATAAGAGAAAAACTGCCTCCAAAAGATGAATAAGCAAACTCCAAATAAAGATTAGCTATAGTACTTTATTTTACAATCAGAATCATAGCTTTAAAAACAGATAAAACTCTGTGAATATTGTTTTAGCAATTATATGTAAAGCGGTGTGTGAGCAATACATTGATTTAATCCATACCTTATGATTATGTTAAAAAAAAATAAACGAATGAACGAATGAACAAATTAACAAATGAACGAGTGGCCAAATGGACGAATGGACGAATGGAGGAATGGACGAATGAACGAATGAACGAATGAACGAGTGAACGCGTGAACGAGTGAACGAGTAAACGAATGAACGAGTGAACGAATGAATGAATGAATAAATAAATAAATAAATAAATATATATATATATATATATATATATATATATATATATATATATATATATATATATATATATAAACTTGTAAACAACTCGAATTTTAGTAGTGTATAGATAGATATGTATATGTATGAAAAGGCTGTGGTCCTTCTCTAAAATCAGTGCTGATCGCCCCACCCCTCCACTCTCCTTTATTGGACTGCGGTGTGTGGTGGTCTTGTAATGCAGCCACTTTTTTTTGGCTCTGTTTAGTCTGCTGATGTCAGGATCAACCACTGAGGAGACGAATCTAGTTTGAGATAAGATTATTTTTAAATACATGGGTCCAAGCTTTTCATATACCCTCCCTTGCTTTTCCAGATTATTCAAATTGTCTACAATGTGATTGACATATTTTTATCTTATGTAAACAGCGTCAGCATTGTAAATGGGGACATAATTGACTTTAAGAAGGTTATGACAGAGGCAACGAAAACTGCTTTAAGCTACAAGGAGAAGGGTAAATAAGAATGGCTCAAAAATACATGTGACAAGATTAATGAAAGTAAAACATTGTAAGAGAAATTATTAAACATCAGAATAATGATCATGAACATGAAAATAAAAAGTATAACAAGAACACAAAGCCAAACATTAAGATATAAAAGCCCAATGCAGTTGAGAAAACCTCACTTATCATTACATACTAGTAAATAAAAAAAAACAGCATGATTCAACAGAATAAAATGTTGCCGATGAAGAAGTCCTGAAAACTAAAGTTGTATTAATTTTCTTTGGAAAATTCCTATTTCTCGCTAATGACAGCAATCTCCCCACTGTAACTGATTTCAGATTTTGATCCACTGTGAACATATGGCAACCAGTCACTTCCCGGCATGTAGACAAACGCTCCACTTGAGCCTCTACAAGTACATGTTGTGTACGTGTACTTGGTGTGCCAACCATCCCTCCTATGTTCGTGTGTCCATTGTCCTACAGAGACCTGTTTAGGACAGCCATGAGGATGTGACACTATAACGGTCAACTTGTCCACATCAACAAATCTCCTGTATTTGTCCCTTACTTTCCCACATAAATCATCAAAGTGCCGACACATCTTGTACAGTTCATCAACCAACTCCAAGTCACATGACACACATGCAAACTCACACCAGTCTTCTAAAATGTCGGACACACTGATGACCCCCCAGCCATCAAGACTGACCACTGGACTTTTATTGTCATCAAAACCTACAACACACCTTATCTGTCTCGCCTCACTGTCATCAAACACCACATGTCTGGCTGTCACCACACGAACCTCCCCCCACACTTTGCTGGGTGTGGCCGAGTATCGACACTTGACACATGGGCATGTGCCATAGTTTTCAATACCTGTGTGATTGAAAACACGCCATACTCTCCCCGTCCCTGTCCTCAACACGTCACTTCCTCTGGTGTTATAAAATGGATACTGACCCCTGAAGCATCCACTATTCTTAGGCCTCTCTACACTGGTGTTATTAATCTTTATCAAGACCGTTAGGGCAGACAAAGCTTTGATAACCTCCAACATGATGACATCACGGTAACGTAAGGGGAGATGATCCAAGTTAAAATCATTAACAGGTACAAAGTTGATATGCCCTGGATTCTTCTTACAGCTGGTATAGTGCTTGTGTAAGTCAGCTTCACCCCCATAGCAGATCTCGGCTTCATGGTGTCCTAAAGATGTACAACTGGAGTTTATACTTCTCATCAAACAATGGTGTTCAAAAGATTCAGAGAAAATAAATAAAAAACAAAATCATAAATAAATTTCAAATAAATAATTAGAAATTAGAAATTGTTAAAATATTGGTTAATTAATAATTTAATAGTTATGATGTATAAGTTTGGAATAAGACACTTATTTAAATACATTTATAATTTTTCAATGATAATTTAACTATTCAGAAACTAACCTCCCTTAGAATATTTCTTTCCACCTGTATTCCCCATACCGCATAGTTACTTTTATCTGTCAAGGTATTTTTAAAGGTTTAATTATCAAGCTTTAAAAGATAATAATATAAACTAATAAAAAAATTGCTAGTATTCTCATATTCAAAACGATTCTAATTTGCAAGGATTGATAAAGTGCAATGTGGTAGATAAAACAGAGGTATTCAAAATACTACCGATTTTTTTTTTATTTTATGCACTGAACGTACTGTTTACTAATTATTATTTTTAATCAATAAATTTTAGTAGCCGCTCGTCCTCACTGCTTACTTCTATCTTTCGGTTTGCTGCAAAGTTTTTACTCTTTCGCATACGTCCACAAAAGAACAAAAAGAAAATATTAAACGGATCAATGTCAAATAATATGTTCAATTATATACCTAGAAATAAAATGGATAATAATTGTAGGTTCGAAAAAACATAGTTGATTAAAATGTTTAATAATTTTGCCATGAGAGGTAATTCAAAAAGAAATTCAACTCACGATAAATATTGATATTTAAGTAAAAAAAAAATGTGAATGCAAATTGTGCAGACATCCGTGAGAACATTATAGTTGGAATACAAGGCTGTTTGTTTGATAAAGCTATTTGATACAGCGCCTGCATTTGTGTTTAAATTTTTATATGCGTGTGTGTTTGTGTTTGCGTTTGTGTTTTCTTTTGTTTACATTTCGTTTGTGTGTGTGTTTTTGTGTTGTGTTTGTGTATGTGTTTGTGTTTGTCTTTTTCTTTGTGTTTGCGTGTTGCGTTTGGTTTGCGTTTCCGTTTGCGTTTGTGTTTGCTTTTGTGTTTTCATTTGTGTTTGGTTTTGGTTTTGTTCTGTTCTTAAGTTGGTACATTTAAAAAAGATTCACCGTTGCGGAGCACGGGTATGCAGCTAGTATAATATAACAATCTACTTATTGAAATGCAGCAACTAAAAGTAACTTTATAGATTTCGACAGTGTAGAAAGAGATCCAAATGGAAATCATTCGACACAAGTGTGTGTAATACAAAAAAGAAAGCAAGATTATTAAAACGACATACAATTTGAAATGTAACATCATTCATGAAGGTCTGCGAACCAACGCATCTGAGATTAATTTTGGTGTTGCAGTTTCTCAAGTACACCGCAGAGTGACTGGAAAAATAATAACAGACTGAATATTTTAGAAACAATTTATCTATGTCAAAATATTTCAAGAGATATACATCAGTAAAAAGTATTTAATGAACAAAAATATCTGGGAAATACATTTTAGATCGCAACGTGTGCCTTGTTCGATATAGCAACAAGAAACTTTCA